TGGTGGCTGACTAAATACTTTTTTGCCCCACTGTATATAGTACTAACATTATGTTTGGACACACGAATGGGAAAGTGTCCAAACTTTTGACTGGTACTGTACTATAATATACACAAAGAATATCGGCCGATATATCGATAACGGCCTTTTTTAACTCCCTAATATCGGTATAGGAAAAGAAAGAAAGAAAGTCATACAGCTCTGGAACAACATGAGGGTGAGTGAATAATGACAGTTTTTTCCATTTGGGTGAGCTATACCTTTAAATACTTCATATCATTAAACACAAACCCTTAAATCGATTTGTCTTTCAGTTTGTTTCATTATTTAAATCTACAGCATGCTGCATTCTTCTCACCAGAGAGGTCAACGACAGCTTCATGACTGGACATAGCACCCTTTTCCACAAAGAGCTCGTAGAAATAATCGCTGCAGGAGGCCAGGACAGCTTTATGTGTGCGATACTCCTCACCCTCAATGAGCAGCGTGATATCACAGAACTCATTATTCAGTCGCTGCTGGTTCAACTTGTCCAGCATCGTCTGCCCATGCTTCGGTAAGAACTGCTTGACAATTCCCTTACTGTCCACCTATAACAATGCATGAAGGAGTAATATAATATCATTATCATATGCATTAACTTTTAAAACGTATCTATAAAATATAAATGATATTTATACATTTAAAATACATTAAAACATAAAATGTAATACTTGTATTTGTATTCATTGTTATTTAGTATAAATAATATTTATCAACATAATTGAAATTGATTTCAATATCCTCATCTTTTAATATCAAGATACTATTGTACCCAGAATACTGTCAATTAAATTCAAAATTTGAAGAAACTAATTTTGATTCAGTGACACTGTAAATGGCATACTATACTTACAAACACCAATTCGTGTTTATCAGGTGCACTGGACTGCTCCAGATCCAAATCATCATGTGCCTCATCGTCCTCTTCCTCACTGGCACAGGCGGAGGTCTTTCGTCTTGCTTGCCGGACAGCTGCTTGTTTTGTGGCCTCTTCAGCATTGCCTCTCATCTTCTCCTGCTTGCTTTGGCAGTGACTGCACTCTCTGATGCAATCCTTCACCTGCTTCAGCACACCTGTCATAAGACGATTAGGTTTAGGCTACATATAATAACAGCGTTTGTCTCAAAAAACAATAAATTACATCTATTTTTTCCAATGGGATTAATAAAGCATCTATCCATCTCACTGTCTCATTTATTAATATTAATATATGAGGATTTTTATTGCCTGTTCTATCTAAGAAAACGCCACAATCATACTTGGGACAATAAAAAGCTATTCCGAGTATGATCAGATCTACATTATACATGCAGGGGTTGGACAAAATAATGTGAACACTAATTATTATAGGTTAATATCATCTGTGTAAGCTACAGTAAAAAAACAAACACTGCAGATATGTTTTAGTTATCTTTCCATTGGGTGAAACGTATCACACTTCCAAAAACAACAAATCATGGGAGCCCATTTAACAAGAGCATCTGTAACCTTAATAGCACAAATGTTGCGTTTTAAGAACACCTGTCTTTATGATTATGACTGTGCACACAAAGACGTCATCGACAAATAAGAACAGTAGGTGAAAACCGAAAGTGAATGATTGGGACGTTTGGGATCAGTATTTTATTACAGTTTTTTATTACCATTTAAAATAATGGTTTTCTATTTTAATATACTTTAAAATCTGATTTATTTCTGTGACGCAAAGCTGATTTTTCAGCTTCATTATTCCAGTCTGCAGTGTCACACGATCCTTCAGAAATCATTCTAATATGCTGATTTATTATTAATATGGGTTGATAATGATTTCTGAAAGATCATGTGACACTGCAGACTGGAATAATGAAGCTGAAAAATCAGCTTTGCATCACAGAAATAAATCAGATTTTAAAGTACATTAAAATAGACAACCATTATTTTAAAATGGTAATAATATTTTCCAATATTACATTTTTTTCTGTATTTTGGACAAATAAATACAGCCTTGACGAACAGAAGAGACTTCTTTAAAACACATTAAAAATCTTACTGATCCCAAACTTCTGAACAGCAGTGTATATATGTATGTATATGCTCTTTTGTAATATCTTTATCAATGGCACTATCCAGCTGTAACGTTAGGTCCTTGTCACATGCTTGGCATATACGGTCAAGAAACATCTAAGCGCTTCAGAACTGCGTGACATCAGTCTGGAAAACTGTGCTGTCATTACATTTGTGATTACTGTACCTCTCCACCAGTATTTCTGGGAGATGATTTCCCATGTTTGCTGCTGGTTGAGGTGTTCCCCTCCGGACGTGATGTGCGCCTCCGTGATGAGTTCCTTCCGTCTCTCGGCCTGCAGCACCACTTCAAGCTCCGTGAATTCATCCAGGCCTTTCTGCCGCCTCTGATAATAAAGAATCCCATTTCGCACTATGTAACAAGCAGCTGCTTTCCGGATCTTTCTCTTGGTGTTGCCGTGCGTGCCCGGTGCGTAAGGCTCACGTTCATCCGTCAGGTAGCGCTGAATGGCTAAGTAACTCTCCTCGCTCGACATAACCCCGATTAATGAAGCTCACTCAACGGAAACGAGACACATCAGCCAGTGAGAGCTATTCTCGAGCGTAGAATTCAACAAGGTATTTTTTCAGCCCGTTCCCACTTCCATAGATGACACGGAAAAGTATCGAGTGTGATATTTCTGAAATGTTTTCCAAGGGGGAACGTCAGTTCTTGACCGTGTGGGGTGGACTTGCCTGAACAGACAAAATGGCTGCTGCACAACCGGATGTTGCGTTTGAAATGGCGGAAGCGGCGACTAGCACTTCACGTGTAGGGCAGTCAGGGTAACAGCAGAGGGCGCTGTTTACCAGCATTCGGCGTTTACATACGATTGTATTGTGGGCTTTTCTTCCCATTCAAATTTAGAAAAATTGTTTTAAATGCTGGGGGGAAAAAAAGTTTGTTTGAAATGTAGAATATACTTATAAGATATACTTTAATTATGTTTTAATCCTAAATTATTTAAGCCTTTTCTGTAAAGGGCTCCCTACTCTGAACATTTTACTAACTGAAATAAAAGAAGAACATGACATAAAGTGCTTTATAATGATGGTTAAGCGCTGGTTTAAAGGGGTCATATGTTGCGATTTCAATTTGTCCTTTCTCTTTGGAGTGTTACAAGCTCTTGGTGCATAAAGAAGATCTGTAAAGTTGCAAAGACTAAAGTCTCAAATCCAAAGAGATATTCTTTATAAAAGTTAAGAGTCA